ACACACACACACACACACACACACACACACACACACACACACACACACACACACACGTGCACACAAAGGAGGAGGGGATGTGCAAAACATTTCTGTTAATAGTCCAACTCAAACACAAACACACACATACTTCCACACAAAGCTATGCTAGTAAAAAACTCCTCAGTCGCAGCACTTGAAACAGTAATCAGCAACACATTTTGTAATGAAGATTGACATCCCCTTAGCTAGCCAGAATACTGAAGGCACTTCATTACATTATAGAAGTTAGGCAGAAGCCCATGCACACACACACACACTCAATTTTAAAGACAGAAAGTGAAGCCGCCACTAGCCACACGACTTCCACTTCACTTTCCTAATCAATTATGAACACTGAAAATACAAACAGCTTATAAGAAGAGCTAATTAGCCTTACCCTCAAATTAATACTTTAATGCACGGAGCATGAATAGATAGAAAATTTCAAACGCGAGTAGAGAAAGATGAAAACGAAGAGCAAAGTGCAAGAAGGAACACATTTTTCATTTAAATGAAATCATATATTTAAAAGATATGTGTATACCAGTGTTTGTATACATAGTTACTTATATATAATTACATACACACAAATAATCTGCCTACTGCAAACTGATTTCACTTCACATTGTCTCTGGCTGGTAAACAAGCAAATAAAATAAGACAAACCTATTTCAAACTCATCATCTTCTGTTAAAATCGTAGCGTTGGCAACAGGAGGGGGTGGCTGACATGTTCTCAGCTGGTACGCTGTTGGGGAAAGGGCAAAAAAACTGAATCCTTGAACAGAGTGAGTGCTGTGTGCGCATTTGAAGGCAGAAATAAAGAGAGGCAAACGGTGTCTCTCCCATCATAATGAAACTTGATTAGATCAGAAATTGCCACCTATCACTGTTCATGATCATCAAAAAACAATCACTAATTTAGTTGAGATAGGGAGCGTTTTATTATTAATCAGCTCCTCTTTGAAAGGGTGTTTTAATAGCGCAAGAAAAAAAAAGCTTTAAACTGCATTTATCATTTATCATTAGAGCTGGAAGCAATGCTATGACAGAAGGTATTGAGAAGACTTAGGTTAGGCATGAGGTCTCCACTTAAGTTAGGAGACGTTACCGAAATAATGTAGCTCAAAGAAGCCGCTGGTGCTGAAGTCGCTGTGGAACTTGATGAGGACCTGATTGGCAGTGGTGGACACGCCCTCCTGTACAGAGCTGCCACTAAACTGACCGATTTGGGGCGAGCTCTGGTCAGGTCCGTCCCTAGTGCAGAAATATAGAGGTGGAGAAAATAAAGGAAAGAAATGAAGGGTGGAGAAAGGAGGGAGGCAGAAACAGAAAATCATTTCTGGTTAAACACCAGTTTGCTTTAACAAGTTGCTGGAATCAAAGAGCAGGTCAGCGTGTCCCCTGACAGACTCCAAAATGTTTCTCAGCAATCAAGAGTCAAAGATATATAAAAATGTATTGAGCATAATTCAATTCAATAAAAAAAACAAAAAACCCATCATCCTAATTACACGGATGCCATGTCTAAGGCATCTCTTGGACAACGTCACACTTTGAGGATTTGGGAAGTGTGGAACTGAAGGAATGGCGTGTACTGAAGTATCTTGTTTGAGCTGGAGCTCAGCCTCAGGATAAAATTCTTGATTTATGAGTAAAGAAAGCTAGCATAAGCAGCCTGCGTAGGTTGGGGTTACAGCATTACAAAAGCATTAGAACTGTTTGGTTGAGTGGACCTCTCCTGAAAAGTGGCAGTTAAAGAAAGACAAGATACCTAATTAGGAAGCCTCTAGCATGCCTCCCTGAAGAGACATCCGGCACGTCTGACTGGGAGGAGACCCCAAGGCAGACCCAGAACATACTTATACATTCCAGCTGGCCTGGGTGGACCTCAAGATGCCCCAGATAGAGCCTGGAGAAAGCGTCTAAAATGGATGAATAGATAGACGCTGGATTGGATATTGTGACACGTTATATCTTGAACGGTAATTAGGGTTTGCTATTTGACTCACTGGATTAGCTTTAGAGTTAGGAAAGGCTTTTCCTGAGATTTCTCAGGAAATTTACTGACAGCAATCTGTATATCCCTACTGCAACATTAAACTACATTTATGGACAACATGTTCCCCTGCTGAAAGATGAAAAGACGAATTGGTGGATGGCTGTGGGGTAATAATAGAAGCTGTCATTAGCAGTGAAGCCATTTCTGAGCCATGCATTAGCTAGCAGCTCTAAAACAGAGAATCAGCTGCCCTAATGAGAGCACAGAGAACTTTCAAACCCTTGCAGGTGCATGGCCGTGATCTATGTCTGGAGTAAAATATCATGTTAGCATGCAAAAACAACCCAAACAGTACTTTTCTTTGGGCATAAAAAATTCACCAGAAGACAGCACTTTTCTATTATGTATAAATGTTATTTTTTAACAAGAGAAATGTATTTAATTACTGGCACTTTCAAGCAGCTCCAGGCTTTCTTTTCTAAATCACACTAAATGGGGTTTTTTTTGTTATATTTGTTCACCTTAAATATTGTATATACTGGAAGTCTTACTGCAGTTTCTTTTAAGAGAGATCAACAAAATAAGAGACAGCAGTCAGGCAGGGAAACAAAATGTTACCATCAAGGGACAGATTGTTTATGCGCCATTTGATTTGAAAACAGTAGTGCCAGCGGCTCCCTCCTCCCATACCATCAATGGCAGCCCTGGATGCTGGAAGGCATTTCCCTCCCTTATTACCCATGAGGGCCGCTCTATGACTACCTCAGACAACAGAGAGGATGCAGAAAGATACAGGGAAAAGGGCAGATGGGGAGATAGTGGCTGGAGTGACAGGAGGCAGGTAGTATTGTTTACTGTCGTACAACTATCTGTAAAGTTTCTCAATTGTAAACAGACATCCCAAGCAACTCAAAGTTGATGTTTTCATGCTGATACACATTTCTGTCTTTTATGGTACACTTGCTGGGGGATCTAAAGTAAAAGCAAAAGTTTGGGGGAGTAAAGAAAGGGAGCGCAGTGATTCAGACTTGAATTTCTTTTAGTTAGTTAGTCACATAAAAACAATCTAGTTGTACAGAAGGATGGAAAAAGATTTTGTTAGTAAAAGAAAGGCGTAAATGTCAGGACATATTTTCACAATATTTGTTGTCATGTCTGGTTGTTGTCATAAGCTGTGAACGTAACTCACTTAACTGGCCTCAAAACATGTTTGCTTTGTAAAGCTCAAATTAATTCGTTATTCAGCAAGAATGTCTCGAGACATTTGGCTAGCACCATTCTGTGTTTGTCTGTGTGGGGTTTCTGCAGGTACTACAACTTCCTCCAACAGTCCAAAGACCTGCATGTTAGACTAACCGGTGAATGTAAATTGGCCCTAGGTGTGGATGTCTGTCTCTCTGTGTGAACCCTATGATGGGCTGACAACTGGTCCAGGATACCTCTCCCTCAAAGTCATGCGTTTCATGAGTGCTATAAGCTGATGATTGATAAATAATGTCATACTGAGAGAGAAATGAGGGCTTACCACACAGTGATGTAGTCGTAGATTGGCTCGGTATTGATAACGGAGAAATTTATGTAGATGCCGTACCCAGGGGGTACTCTGACGGTCCACATGCAGTCCTGGAAGTGTGGATACTCGGCTGGGTGTCCAGGAGAGTAAATTGTGCCATTCATGGATGTTATATTCCCACCACACAGAGCTAGAGGAGGGAAGAGAGAAAGCAATGTCGGACAAAAATAGAAAGCCAGTCATACCTCAAGTGATAAAAGCTTTTATGGTTGTATTGCCACTAACAGTTGATAAAATAAACCATAACGGCGTGTTATTGGGTTATCACCCAGATACTGGGGGGAAGAATGCACCTGTTAGACACAAATGCAAGGAATGGTTACTGGCTGTTGTGAAGTAATGATGATGACTGATTTTGACAGCTAAACTCCCTCTATCAAACCCCCTTAGATGCTTAAATCTGACTTTGAACTAGGAGTCAAAGCCAAAGCATTACCCACAGGATAAAAAAAAGAAGTGCTGTAAACCTGACAGGAGCAATACAGCATGTAAGAACCAAAACAACATTTTAAGGCAAATATAAAACTATCGTGTGGTCTTATAAAGTCTGCTGTTGCATCGTTTAACTGATGAAAGATTGTTTAGCGTACCTGAGTGACATCTAAGGCGACTCCTTTAGAATTACATAAAAGACCAGCATGTTCGGATTTGCATTAAAGACTTGAAGATGCTCCATGTATCATTATAATCGCTAAGCATCAGTTTATAGTTCAGTAAAATAGTGTTGAATAGCTGGTGAGTCTCATGCTTTGATGTGCCAGAGTAAAAGACAGCACAACAAGCAGACTGTATTCTATTATAAAATGAACTATTTAAAATAACAAAGACATTTTTTTTGTAATGGAAAGGAATCTTCACCTTTACTTTAGTTAGCTGCACAAATATTTAAATATTTCCCTACTGATTTTAAAACCAGAAACATGAAAGAACATTTTGAGATGAATAAACAGAATATGTTGATTCACCAAATATAAGAAATTCATAGGAAACATTTAGACACTGAATAGATCGAGTGCCAATTTTTTTCTGCATATGAATGACACTTGGTGCAAGGACACTGCTGAGCTTAGAGGGGACCTAAGGCACTCACCTTCACAGCGGGGGATGGGGTGGTTCCAGTTTCTGCTGATTCCATGCAGACATGTGAGCGACTGTTCTCCAAGAAGAGTGTAACCTGGCAGGCACTCAAAGGAAATGGTCATCCCCACGCTGTAGTCCTGTCCGATCACTATGCCGTTACGAAACGGCCGTGGGTCTGGGCACCTCTGTAGCTCATATGCTGGGGGGGGAAAGTAAAACCCATCCAAGACAAAAAGGATCATAAAACACAGAATTCAACACTGGGGTAAAAATAATAATCTTCAAGGACATGTGGTATGCAATGTTTCAGAAAATGCAAAAGGTTTTCTTTAATCCTACAACCTCAGTGGAAGAAACTGCTGTGTATACCTAATTACAAAACTTTCTCCCTTGTCTGTACCTAATGGGCTTTTACGTGTCCTGTTAGAGAGCGCTTCAATCTTCTTTCACGTCACTTGCAAAACCCAATTTCAAAGTGACCATAGGAAGCTTATTTAAAATCTCATAATTTTAACTTTGATTAAAAATTGATTAAAAACAATGATTAAATGCATATAACGAGCAAAGCCCTACAAACTGCCACCTGCTAAGAAAATGTTTATATCCTTTAGCCTCTAAATTTCATCTTATATGTAAATGTTGCATCCATCACATCAAATCTGTTTTCTTTAACTTAGGTACTACTGATTTTGACAGGTAACACTGTTACATCCCTGTTGTAACACATGGATTTTAGTAATGCACAGTAGCAGGTTGGAAAATGTCTTGAAATTAGCCTTGATGAGCTGCATAAGAGTGACTATTTATCGTTCTGCTGGCTCACAGCAAAAACTGGAAAATTACGTGAATGAGAATAGTTGAATCTGGTTGTAATAAAACACATACATACATGTGAGGACATAGAGCAGGAGAGAAACAAACAGATAATAAATTTAGCCATATTATTTGCACATTGTGTGAACACTAGGCATCTAAGGATTTTGCTTTTGTTTGAACAGGCTTTCTACTGAGAATTTGTATTTAATCATTATTTATTTATTTTAAACCTTTCGTCTGTTTTAATGTGTCTTATTGTATTTTTCTGTTGCCTATTATGGCACTTAATGCTCTTATTTACTTTAATCTTTTTGTGTGCCTCGCTTTGACTGTCTGTGTATCCTAATATTACTTACTTCATTGTTGTGGGGACAGAGTCACCAAATTTTGCCAGGGTGTTATAGTGATGTAAATAAGTCACAAAGGAAAAGCGTGGGCTGTTCAACAGGGGTAGTCTTTACTTTTGAAGAGAATACCTCACCTTCTTACGCTTTGCAAACCTATTATATGAGCAAAATATCTAACAGACTACAGTACAGGGAAAGACCTAAAATCATGATATGGACACTTGGTTATCATTTGTTATGACTATTTTTGATGCTGTACTTTACATGGTTAAAAAACAACAACAAAACAAACAAACAAAAAAAACTTATCTCATATTAGGCCTTTATGCAGCCCCTCAGTTCACTGTCTATCTGAGACGTGCCATTTTAGCTCCTGTCTCTTTAAGGTACTCTCCCTAAATGTTCCCTGTTTTTTTCTGATTGGCTAACCTCCAGGGGCATTCTGAGAGACAGCACCCAGTGCTCGTGAGGTGTACCTACTGTGCTTTGGAGACATGCTGTACCTTTAGCAAATTCTCAATAACTGTGATAAAAGAAAAAAAATTGAAAAGCTAGAAAACATTCAGAAGCCTAAACTTTTAAAAGATACTTTCACATACAGCTCATACTTGCATGACAATATAATATGTACATATATCGTGCATGTGTAGACACACAGAACAGAAAATAAGGACAACAATGCACGTCCTCTTAGGCTACACTGTTTTTCTCTCTCACCCTGGTAGACAATTTGGAAGCCGGGCTTGTTCTGGGAGTAGTCGCTATGGAAGAACAGAGTAGTCTCATGGGTGGTGCTGAAGAGAGGATTGGGCAGCGTGGGGCCACTGAACCGATCAATCACTGTTCCTGTCTCAAGGCTCCCACTGCGGATCTCCAAATAGTCATGAACAGGCTCTGTGGAGAAGTTCAGAAACTGGAGATGGATCCCTAAAGAAGAGGAAAGAGAAGGTTAATGGAAGAGGTAGACCCAAGAGCACATGAATGAAGTAAAAGAGAGCAAAGAGTGGCTATTCCTGTCAAATATTGTATTACACTTTTATACACACTAGTACTTATACATGCTTGAAATTAGCAGTTTGTTGAGTTACACAGGAGAAGAGAGAGAAGAGGTTACAGACCGAAGCCAATAGGGAGTTGAACACTCCAGCTGCAGTCCAGGCTGCTTTGGTAATTCCCTGGAAAGCCTGGGCTGAGGATGACGCCGCTGAAGTCTGTCATGGAGCCGCCACACTGAGCTGAGGGAGACCAACCAAGGAGAAAGAACATGTCACTTCTCCATGGAGCAGCTCAGTGGGAAAACAAAGAAAAACAATGACTAGAGGGCTGCATATTCAGGGAGGGCAAAGAGCACTGTGTCTTTGTGTGAGTGAAAGTTTCAGCACACGCATAAAGTATGTTGTGCATGTGTATCCTACACATTCTTAATATACATGTATAGTCTATATATATATATATATATATATATATATATATATATATATATATGTGTGTGTTTTTGTGCAGAGCAGAGAAGGGTCTTTGTCTGTTGGTTTATGTCTTTGACTTGTGCTTGTCCATCTCTTCTTGGAAAAAAAAACAAGCAGACCAAGGCACCCTCCTTGCTCAGTGGTGCTTTAAATCAAAATAAATGAGAGAGTCACTATTCAATAGTCTAACTCAGTTTTGCTCAGTGGTGAAGGTGATTACTTCAACCTCCCACCTGCAACACCCCACCCTCTCTTGTTTGACTGAGTGCATTAGAGAACACTTAGCTTGCTGTGAAGGTTATACCCCTCTCTTGTGACACACAACCTAGTCTTACATGAACACCCAGGTGGTGTAATCTTATAATCTTAAAACTAAATCATTCCTGCTTTTCCCATCACAACCCCAACAGGCGCATTTGTGTGGCAAATGGTGGAGAACGCAAGTGATATTGCTGCTATTTCTTTGGGGACTATCAACCAAGACCAAAATGAGGCACAAACTATCTTGGGAGGTAATTGCGTTCCTGGTAGTGGGGAGGGGGGACGGGCTTGACCTGCTTGTGTATGAAATAAAAGAGAAGACGAGAGGCACTTAAAAGGGTGTTATACGTTTGGTGCAGGGGCATCCAAAGCCTTTGATGTGGGTTTATCAGCAAACAAAATGAATACAGATCCTGGGGTGTTCAGGGAAGCGTATGTACTGTAAACGAGAGAAGACTTAAGCTAACGAGTGAACGCACACATCCGAGAACATGCCTATCGACAGCAAAGCCGGGATTTATGTCTGCAGTGAACGATGAAAACCACAGGAACAGAGTATTTACACAAAGAGCTCTTTGAGTAACCGTGCAGTTTTGTCTGTGTGTGCAAGAGTGCATTTATCACATTGCATATGTTTATGTATATGTATATAACTGAGAGGAGCAGGGTGCAAGCGAACAGCGAGGCGTCAAAGAGAATGTGGAGTTCTTCGTTGGTAATCTCTGGAAACTATCACTGTGACAATCAACTTGAGAGGAAGTGTCGGGGGAGACAAGGGAGTCTCATCAGGAGTATCAGAAATCAAACAGCACACTCAGATGGTGCAAAGCCTTATTGATTTTCAACCGAAGGGGAAAGCAGAAAATTCATAATCCCTAACCCCCTCAAGGCATCTATTCCCAGCCATCACACCTCCCAACCCCCCGATCGCACAATAAAATTCTCCTAATACAATAAAATGCCCTCTTTGAGGCTGCTGAGCTATCGGGTCATTGTATATGAGAAAAATATTAGTATGAGAGAAATATAAATAAGGAGAAGATAGAAGAAAGATAAACGAGTCAATGAGAAAAATTGAACGGCAAAAATGGGAAAGAAAAAGATCTAGTTTGAGTTTGCTGCTACAAATATGGGTTTGTTGTCAACAATATCACCTCATTGAAATGCTGTCACTAGAGCTGTCAGACTGTATGCGATAATACATTACCTAAGCACAGAGGTACGGGGTAATTCCATCTTCTGACAGGACCAGGCATGCAGGTAATATATGCATTACCCTGTTCAAGAAAACAAACAAAAACTGTTTACTGTCAATTCCCTTTCAGCAAAACACTGTGAAGTTAAAAATGAAAAGGAACACGATGAGATCAAACCAGCAGGTGACCCCAGTATATTTTATCTCTGTCCTATGGATCTTTGGATTTAGTGAAAATCCCCTTCTTGTGTGTAAATATCAAGAGTAGGGCAGGATGTTCTCGCTGCTAGGTATACAATGGGAGTAAGCACCCCGAGATAAGAACAGAAAAAAAAAAAATCTGCAAACATAATTGTGTTGAATACAAAAAAGGGAATCTAAATGTGATGGTTAATATTCAGAGCATTAATGGAATTTGCCTGCATGTTTGTAAAATGCATACATGCAGGGTGATTCTCCAAAAACCTGTACACTAACATCACGCCTGAAAAAACATAGCTATACTGCGCACTCACACACTAAACTAAACTCAAAAGACTCATCCATACTGTTGCTTTTGTTACTACACCCGCCTCAAGTCTATTTCTGGTGTTCAGACACTCAGCCTGAAGATGTGTGTAAGAAGTTGCTGGTTAGTCCAGAGAGGATATGAAAAGAAGAGAATGCCCGAGCTGGGAAGAAAAATCGGTGTGGGATTAGCGAGGCGACTGTTAACACAATCCATCGCCTGTGGCCTTGGAAGGTTCTACAGCTCAAAACGCCACAGCCACTGAATCTACTCAGGCAGGATTGGAAGAAGTTAAAGCTGCTTTGTAACGAACACACTAGGACTCACACTTACACAAACATGCAAGCAGGGAGGCAATG